GGGCGGACGGCCCTCGCGCCCGTTTCTCGGCTTCTCATGCGAGGGCGCTTCGACGCAAGACTCGCACTGCAACGCCGCCCCGTTCGTGGGGGCTGCAGCTCGGCTTCCCTGTTCCGGGACCTCCCCCTGCAGCGGAGGGTGCAAATGCGCTCGCTCGCGTGGCGTCAGAATCGGGCAAGCCACGGTGTTCCCGGTGGCCGTCTACGGGAGGAAAGCTGGACGTTGAAGAGGCAGGAGAGGAAGCGTCTTGACGCGTTTGAACTTTGGTGTTGCAGAAGACGCCCGAGAATACCGTGGGCCGCCAAGAAAACAAACGGATGGATCGTTGAACAAATCAACCCAGAGTTCTCACTCGGGGCACAAGTGGCCGGGCTCAGATTATCCTAGTTCAAGCGCTTCATGCGAAGACCCAGCTCTCTGGAGGAGAATCTAATGCTGGGAAAGGTGGAAAGAGAAGAGGACACCAGCAGCAAGAGGGGGTGGTGGATTCAGGTAGGGTGGTGACGAAGTGCACTGTTGGGAGACTTGAAAGAACAGGTTAGGGTCAAAAACTGTCTACGTGGTTGCTAGGATTCGAAAATGACTTGATGGCACAGAGTCTGTGCACGTGCACCTATTTTCTGCTGACAAAGAGCGCCAATGGACCTATTTTTATTTTTACGGAGACAGATTGCTACTCATTTATGCAGCCGTTAGTCTGTTCAACCATAACCTTTGCTTTTTCAAACATGCAAAGCTTAATTTGACCCTGGACAAAGCCCCATAAACTGCAGGATCAGGAGTCATCTGGGAGCACCTTTTCCAACATAACAAGAAGGTGTAAGCTTTCAGTTGTCTTGGAGAAAATTGATGTCGCCACTTAAGAGTTGACACTGACTTGATAGACATAATCAAAGAGTTTTCAGTGCTGCAGCTCAGGAAAGCTGCTTCCTTTTAATAAGATTCAATTGGAAAAGGCGCTACCACAGATTAGCACAGGTCTTTTACAGCATCCACGAGCAGACTCTCTCTCTTAAACAAAAATGGCATTAAATCTTTTAAGCAGAAACTCCCATTCAATTTGGGCTTGTATTTTCCAAACAAACTAAAAGCTGGATTTGTTTCGGGGTTTAGGAAGACAGATGCAAAGCGTTTTGTCTGTTTTCTTGCTCATCCAGTTTTATTTCTGACACGCAATATTGGCTCCAATTTGTACCCTTCTAGATATATTTTTTCCTCTCTTGTACAATTCTGGATTCCACTAAACCAAGTAATAGCTACTTCTTAGTGGCCTTGTTCCAACTTTGTCAGCACTCACCACTATCCTAGGAGGGCAGATTATAAACATCAGGTTTTGGTGCAAAAGAGATTAAGAGGAGAGTTTCGCTCAGGCAGTTGGGCTGTGTTCACGTGGCATCTTCCTTCATGGTTAACTGAAACACAGCTTATCCAATTTTCCAGGTTGCACAGCTCCCTGAACCATAAAGCAAGCACAAAAGTCAACTTGGCTTAAGCTGCTAGACTATAGCAGCTGAGAGTTGTGGTTCAATACGTGCTGTGAATACAGCTATTCTTTTAATTCCCATCTTTCTACCTTTTTTTGCCAGAGGCCACTGCAGTCCCAGCAAAACCAGCTGCAAACTTTCGAGGGATCCAGCCCTTTCCCCATGTTATACATCCTATTTGGTGGCAAGTGGTGGTATTAAAGGAGTATTGAGTTTGTGCCAACCCGTGACTGTCACAGACTGAAACATCGAAGAAGCCATATCCACAAGTCTTGCCTCCTTGAGGCACGCGGCCATCCCACACCTGTCAAGAGGAGCACTTCTGTCAAGGGCATGAGTTAAATAGCAACCTGATAGATTCCTTCATCAACTGAAAGAGGCACACTGCTTCCCATATTCTATGTGCCTGTGTGTGTGTGCATCATCACCTATTGTCATTAATATCTTCCCTGAATTTCTCCCTTTTAAAGCCCTCCAGTATGTCTCAGCTACTAAAGCAGCCTAGTGTTTCTCAGGCAAACTGCCCAATTTGTATGAGTGGATTCTTTAAAGCAGCTGCAACTTTTAAGGGCTGCTTTAATGAGTAGCTGGCAGGTGCTGGACTCAGGGGAGGCCCAGGGCACTTTTTTCAGATTGTGTTCAAAATATGCCTACTTTTAGTAGCCACTGCTAGGTTAACAATGCACTGGATGAGTAGCTGCCTACTTGAGAACAGCCAAACTCTACCCAGCTTGGCTGGAGTGATGAATTAGTAGTATTTGCAGGCTGCATACCTCAAAAGAATGGAAATTAAATGATTTCAAAGTAACAAAACTCATGACACTGTTCATTGTTCTAATTCACCTATTGCCCATGACAGCAATAACTTTATTAGTCTCATTTAAACTTACAAATGATGTGCAAGCTTTCAAGAACTCTTCTTCAAGCAGGATGCACTGCTAAATAATACACACACTTCGTTTTCCTTCAAGTGCTTCTCCTATGAACTGCATGTAGCTGTGAGTTAACAAGAACCCAAGACAGCACGCAAATGTTTTCATTGCCTGTATCTGTTGATACTTTTGAAATGGGCAGTTAAGCCATACAAGTGTCATTAATTTAGAAATGCAAAAAAAAAAAAAAAACCACAAAAAAACAGCAGAGGGCAGTATCCACATTTCTAATCATTCTGGTTTTCCTGGCCTTTGGGTTTAATGCCACAGCTTCTACAAATTCTTAACAGCCCAATGCTATGCAGCTACAAAATGGAGGTAAACATTAGGCTTTATGATCAGTTCCTCTCAGAAGCTAAGCAGGGTCAACCAAGGTTAGTGCTTGGATGGGAGACCACCTGAGAATTCCAGGGCTGTAGGCCAGACCGAGAAGTTTAAAGAAAAAAATGGAAGGAAATGGCAAACCACTTTAGTGGAGCTTGACTTAACTTAAGGCTTCTTTACCTTTCAAGTCTAAGAAACCTGCTGTATAAAATGAGAAGCTAATTATATGTTCATCTCTGTCCTTCATCTCTGAGAACACTTCCCCAACCCATAAAGTAGCAGCATGCATATCAGAGTCCGTCTATAACACTAAATTAAGCAGCAACAAATTCTGAGATCTGTGGGTCTCCCTTTCTTCCTCTGGCATGGCTTGGAAGAGGTGAACAGTCATTCAAGTTAACAAAGTCAAGTCCCCTTTGGGTCAAGCTTGATTGCAGGTGACTCCATGGCCACATTCAGGTGAATTATGGGGCAACAACATGGGAGTGGTTTCATACTGACTTCTCCCAAGTGAGGTTTTTCCAACTTCCCAGTCTAGTCTACAACCCTGATAGTCACCCACCCAAGTAGGAGCCTGGCCTCACCCTGCTTAGTTTTTTCAAGATCACCCAAGGCTCACTGGGTGCTGACACCTAGCTGGGCATAATTAGGGTAATTAATATAGCCTATACCAGTTTGAGTTACAATTTCAACAAACCCATCCCCATTAACCATAGCTTGTTACCCAGTAAGGAAAACTTCCTTTTCCTAATGTTTTCTCCAAAGCCATGCAAAGAAGTGGAGGAGAAAGAACTGAATAAATCCAAATTTTGCACTTTGTTCCGGGTTGCATGCAACATGCTGATCCAGTAAAATGACACACCCGTTATTTCCGCTGTGCAATACACAGTGTCTGCTTCTTTATTCAGCACTGGCTCTGTCTGACCCACAATTTTTCCCTGGTAGGGCAGGCTTGCTGTAATGGAGGTTAATACAATGAGCGGAGGGACAGTTTCCACAGTTAGCAAGAAGAAATGTGACAACAGCAGGCAACGTTCATCCCTGCATATATTCACGTTATGACACCCCAACCTCAGCGCTTAACCACAGAGGAGAAGGAAACTGCACAGTTTAACCTGCCAAGTGGCATTGCAATGAAGGATACGCTTATGTGACAACTGGGTGTGCCAAAGGAAGGCCAGTTCCTCAGCAGCAGGTGTCCTGAGATGGGTTGGCTGTTCCCAGGAGATGGGGCTCAAAGTGGCATGGCCCTGGTTTTGCGGCTGGGTATCCAGATGACTGCCTTTTCCAACCGCCTCTCTTGGGTTAGTGCCAAAAGCAGATGAAGGTAGGATAACCATGCATCGTCTGGTCCTCCATGGAGGCCACTAAAATAAACTTCTAAGCTATTGGCCTGCAGGCAAGGAACATCCTTCCTAGGTGGGGTTCAGTTCTTCAGCCCGACCAGCTTGAGCTTGGCAAATTCTGTGGCCACCTGCAGAGCTTCCTCGAGGCAGTCTGTGTTTTTGCCTGTGGCCTGGGCGGACAGGTCTTTCCCTCCTCCCTTGCCATCCATCAGCACGGAGACCTGCTGCACCCACTCGCTCGCCTTCAGCCCTTTGTTGGCAACTTCCTGGAAGACAGAACAGTTGCCCTCGCTATTAGGGGATTGTGTCGCAAAGGAAATGATCATAACAAGTTGGACCGGATTAGAAGGGGTTTCCTAGGAATGGAAAGCTGGACCTACTCTGAGCATCCCTTTCCTGGGGGTGGGGAGAATCTCTTTGCCCTGGGTTGCTCCTCTGCTTGCTTTCACAGGCAGAGTCAAACTTCTGCTTATGGAAGAAAGGGACCGGATGCCCAACTCCAAGAGCCTTGTTTTGAGTTTCCTTGCTCTTCCCCCTTTGACTTCATTTTTCTTCTTTATTCCGGTCTCTACACAGGTCACGGTCACAAGATTAGTCACTTTAAAAGGGGATTAGGCTAAATCCCAGGGATAGGACCTTGACTATCGGGCATAACTCACAGTCACTCATGCCCTAGTCACCTCCTGATTGGACGACTGTAATGTGCGCCACATGGGGCTGCCCTTGAAGTGTATCCAGAAGCTTCAGCTGGTACAGAATGCAGTGGCGTGGGCAGTTGTGTGTGCTTCTAGAACAGCACATGTTACACCTCTGCTCCATGAGCTGCATTGGCTCCCAGTTTGCTTCCGGGTCCAATTCAAGGTGCTGGTTTTGACCTTTAAAGCCCTTCATGGCATGGGACCGGGCTATCTGAGGGACCGCCTCTCCCCGATCACATCAGCCCATCCCATCAGATCTGGTAGAGAAGGCAGAGGTCCCGTCCTCTAGGGAGCTACACTTGGTGGGTCTCAGGAGGCAGGCCTTCTCTGCCGTAGCGCCCGCCTCATGGAATCTTCTCCCCCGTGAAGTGAGATTAGCACCATCCCTGTTAATGTTCCGGAGGTCCCTCAAAACCTGGCTATATCATCAGGCCTGGGTATCCCAGGGGACTGGTGAAATCCTAAGATGGCTCCCCTATCATGATTAACATTCACTCTCTCCTGTGCCTTGTGGTTTTTATATTTTAATGTTTGTTTTTATATATATTTATTGTTTTAATTATTGTGCGCCAGCCAGAGTCACTCAGTGTGAGATGGGTGGCCATATAAATTAGGTAGGTAGGTAGGAGCTCTGTGCTCAGAGGCAGCATGCCACTGAATGCCAGCTGGTGGCAGCCACCAGTGGCCTTTGGCTTCCAGTCTTGCTTATAAACTGGCTTGTTCTTGGGAGGTGGCGGCAGCTGGATTAGGTCAGACTTTGATCTGATCCAGCAGGATTCTCTGTATGTCTAGCATCAGGGAATGTGAAGAGGCAAATGGCAGCGGGCAGAAGAGCTTGCTGAAGTGCAACAAGCCATTTTTTTTTTACAAATGCATGCACATGATACTAATAGCTCAAGTCCAAATTACAACAACTGGGTTTCAACACTGGGCCGAGTCATAATGTTTGGTGTTGGCTTACCACCTTGTGCAAACTTGGCTATAAAGCATGAGCTTGTCCAATTGTGACTTAGTAAATCAGCAGTTAAACACACCATGCTAAAGGAAAGTAATGGCTTTTAGATGCAATTCCCAGCATCCTTCATCAATGGCCATACTGGCTCAAGTAACATTTGTGGGGATTTCAGAGGCTCTCCACTCTTGCTCTTGCTCTACAACTTTAAAAAGCAAGAACGGAACTTCTGCTTTTTGAGTTATCCATATTATTTCTCCCTGGCCAGTTCGTACCCACAGTATCAGCGGTGCTCCCCGCCTTACTTACTTGAGGGACTTGGCATAAACAGGTAATTTTGCCTGCTTCATTATCCACGGTGAAAAGCATAGCTGCTGTCTCAGGAGAATGGGTCTTCAACAGCTTCAAGGATTCATTCAATGCCTGTACAGAAAGAACATGCTGTGAACTGGCATTTGAAACTGGATCAGGAAAAAATAGTTTGGCAGTCCAGGTCAGGCCGGAGGGAAGCCCACAGGTTGTTTCGTGCCAAGAAGATGTGTGTCCATAGCCACATCTTGTCCTCTAGATGGGAACCAAATGTACTCCCTTCTTGGGGCCACTCTGCCCATTTCACAAAGGATGGTTGCACAGGAAGAAGACAGCTGAAAAAACTACCTTCGCAGAAGCACCATTCTCCATTTCCAGAATCACTAGGGGCTGGTTGGGATAAGCCTCAATCAGCTGCTTCATCTTGTCCAGCACCTTGGAGAACAAAGATAAGCATGAAACAAACATTGAGTTGCCTCCTGGACTCACAAATGACAGAGACGGACAAACGATGCTCCTTGCAGAGGCAGAGAGAGTTCTTGCTCTACATATTGTACTTAGTCAGGGTCTCCATGGCAGCAGATTAAACAAACATGTCGTGCGCCAGGTACAAAGGCACATGCACAAGAGGAAAATACATGCACCAACTTCTCAGCCATGTCTGGCTTGCTACAATGAAGATTCAATACAGAAGATGTGGCAAGTGATGATAACCTTTGCCAACTTAAGGTCCTGTTTTAGAGTCACACATCCCATCCAGCATGGCAACAGTTAGGAATTCTGGAAGTTTTAGTCTTTGCACACCCAAAAACCCCCAGATTGGGAAAAGTGCTCTTAGGATTATATAGATCTCTTCAGACTTTGGTGATTCTAATGATGACTAAGTTAAAGGTCCAGGATCTTTCATCCAGAAAGAGGAGCAGATGAAGAGGAGAGCAACAGTGCATGATGAAAGAAACCGGCATCTGTCCTTTAAGATAATACAAGCAGCATGGTAGTCATATAACTCTATTAGAACTATATGTGTACTTGAATAATATTTGTATTAGATAAGCATATATAGAACTGTAACTGTTTACTGTTATATTTTTTTTCTTTTTTGTTATTTTTTTCACTTTTATGTTAAAGCACTTTTATGTATTTTTTTCTTTCTTTTTGTAATTAAAAAAAGATGATACAAGGAGCAGCACAGTTCTTTGCACTCACCACCTGCCTGTGTTTCAAAGAGAAACAGAGCAATTGCTAAGCTCTTCATGAGTAACAGGAGAAAGAAAATCAGGAGACAGACTCACTCGTTTCTGGATGTCTGCCTTGTTGGCCCGATCCAAATCATCCATAACCTTCTTTAATGCTTTTAGGGCCTCTCTGAGTTCATCCTTTTGCCACTGGGGAATGACGGCAGTAGCCAGGGCCTGCAAGTGGAAGAACAACTTGATGTTACAACTTCAACTTTTACACAGAGAACCAGTCTAGTGTGTTCCCATGACCAAAAGCAAAGTTCATTAATCTAGGACTGAGGCATGCGAGAAAGATATATGTCTAACAAGAAGTCCCTCTACCATTAGCCAAGTGGCTGGAGGCTCTCCACCCCAGCTTACAAAAGCTACTGAGTTTGCATTTACTATGCAGAGACCCTCAAGTCCCTTTGGTACTGATATGTAAAGCCCTGCCTATAAACACAGCCAGAACATTGTAAACTGCAACTCTTCAGCTTGCTTGGAAATGACCAGCTGACTAGCGGATCCTAGGAGAGAAGCTACAGCTGCCTTTTCTTTCCTCCTCCCTTTCCTACCTCGCCAAGATCTGCAATCTCACGTTGGACTTCTTTGTTGGGAGTCCTCTGGACCTTCACTTTAGTTTCTAGGTCAGCCAGCTGCTTTTTCAGACCATCTGCTTTCCTCAACGCCTGGAAGAGAAAGGGAATGCAGGGCTGCAGAAGTGAAGGCCATCTTCTCTCCAGCATGCCAAAATGGAAGGAGATCAGGTTGACTATAAGCGTGAACAAGGACTGGTCTCTTAGGTTAGAATTAAACAGGGATCAAATGCATCATTCCAGATGTACCTACACAAGTCAGGTTCTCAGCTTCCCCACATCTGGCTCCCTCCCTTTTCTACTTACCTTTTGTGCTTCTGCGCCAGTGACGGCCACTATCCTCCGGATGCCCTTAGCTATCGCTTCTTCCGACACAATGACAAAGTGTCCCGCGTGACCTGAGTTCTGCAAATGCCTGTAAAAACACTGCAGGTTAAGAAGTGCTAGGTGAGTTTTTAAGACCTATCCTGCTAGGTAAGAACATGCATGTACATGATTTGTAGCTTCGGATTCCTGACACAGGCCCTCTTTGCAACCCCGATGTACTCACGTCCCCCCGCAGAACTCGACCGATGTGATGGCACCTGCTGCGCTGGAGGGATCAGCCAGCATGTCCTCAACTGGTATGCCAATTGAGACAACACGTACAGGGTCAGGATAAGTCTCATCAAAGACCGCTCGGAGGCCTTGGATGGCCTTGGCAGCTGCCAGGGGACAGTCCTTGGCATACACAATCTGGAAAATTGATCACAAAGACACTGAAGATTAGCTTATTCTAAGGAAAGGGATCCAGTAGTGAGCTGTTTCTCCCCCACCAGTCTGCTTGGTTTCTGTGCTGGATGTGGTGAAAAGGGATGGCAAAGAAGAACAGACATGTCTCTTGTTTACCAGCCCAAATGCAAGCAGGTAGGAGGGGAGGAATGGAGAAACGGCTTTCTAAATGCCCAACATTTCCAGAAAGAATGGGATGGAATTCTATGCACAACCAATTGGTAGGGGAAGTAGAGAGCGACGTATATTCTTCTGCATACCCACATACTCATCTGGGTAAAGTTTCATGCGCTTGTCTCCAGAAACCAGGGAAGTAATTATATTCCAAGCTGGTTCAATACAATGACATTGGAACTCTGTCCCACTGTACCTTGGCTTCCTGAATCATCCCATTAACAATCTCTTCCGTCTTCTTGATTTCCTGTGTAGACATGGCTCCCTTGGCAGTGAAGTCAAACCGCAATCGGTCTGGAGCCACCAAGGATCCTCGCTGATCAGCTTCCCCCAACACAGAACGTAAAGCAAAGTTGAGGATGTGGGTGGCAGTATGATTGCTCATAATGGGCCTTCGCCTTGGCTGAAAGGTAAGAGAGGCATGATTGGAGGTGAGAGGAAAGGAAGGGTCCTTCTCATCAATGATCCAAAGAAGCCAGGCTCAACTCTAGTCAGCTAGCTCTGGTCCACAAATGATCTGGGCAGTAGTCTATTGTATCCAATTTTAATCAAGATTTGGCCACACACACACAAAAAAGGATTACATGGAAGAATCCAAGCTCAACTTTCCTTTTATCTTCTTCCCTTCATGAGTCACTCACCTCATCAATAAACAGCTGCACAGAATCTCCCACCTTGAGGCTCCCATAGACTGTGCCCACATGGAGCACGTAACCCCCTCGGACTTGTACATTTTTCACTGTAAACTCCGTTTTCTGCAAAGCAAAAAACAGAGTCGGTGGATGTAGTTCATCAAATCAGTCAGGAAAATGGATAACAAAGATAGATCCCAACAAATTGAGAGCATGCTAGATTCTAGAACCTGTTCTGATAATATCTTACTAGATTGCAGAACAAGTTATGATCCTCCAACATGCTGTAGTCACCAGATACTAAAGGAAAGAGTAAGGGGGAGGACAGGAATTTAATTGTCAACAAAGCCGTCCCATCGTGAAACGGACCAAGGTTCCCATCAAATCTATTTAGTCAACCTACATCTTCACCACCATCATCTTCTTTAACCAAGTAGCCTTCATCATAGATCTGTCCACCCTGCTCAGCGTAGAAGCAGGTTTGGTCCAGTACAACCCCACACTCTTGGCCTGTATGAACTTCCTCCACAAAGGTCTTTTCCCGTCGAAGAGCTTTCACTGTGGCCCCAGGGCTATCAAATTCTATGTGTAAAAACAAAACAAAACACCCAAATAGAGTAAAAACACACGAGCCTCTTACTACATCAGGCAACAAGTTCAATGCAAAAGATGGGCAAGGACAGCTTTGACATTTGCAGAACACCTGATTCAGGGCCAGCCTTCCTCAGCTGAGGCCCTCTACATGTGTTGGGATACAATTCCCAGAATTTCCAGCCAGCATGGTCCTACACGTTTGAAGCTGTTTTGGACAGCTAAGGAAATATGTTGTGGTTCTTGCTCAAAGAAATGCACTTATTTTAAAGATCCCCAGTAAAAAAATAAGATTAAAATGTTGGCTAAGGGATACATCCCAACAATCTTAGAACAAAGTACTTTGGCTGAGAAATAAAAAGAAGGTGCCTTGTACCAGGTCAGATCTTGAACTCTACTTCTGAAATTGTGCCAGCAACAGTTCTCCAAGTTTTCAGAGGAAAGCCTTTCCTAGCCCTGTTTTATAATACCAGGGCCTGACCCTGGTATCTTCTGTATCCAAAGCATGTGCTTTTCTGTTGAATGAGGTCCTTCCCCTTAAACTGAGACAAAATAAAACTGGGAGGAAATTCTACCACAAAACCTCCTACTTTAAATTTGCTTATTAAAAAATCAGACCCATCATCTCCCAGTTCAACTATTTGTTCACACTGTTGAATTATCCACTGGAAGTACAAGGAAAATCATGCTATCAAAGAAGTTCTGAATCTGAAAACAAGGAAGGCCATTCATGGAATGTGTTCAAGGCAGGCCTTGTGCCAATGCACCAGGACCGGCAGAATGTGCTGCACTAAAGGAACAGCCTGGAACCCACCATAGGAGCCATTCGTATCCGATGAATAGCTGTACTTCAGGGAGTCATCTGTGGCCTCCAGACCTCTGCAGCGGAGATCTTCAATAGCATAGATGTCCAACATGATAAGATCTTCATCACCACCTCCCTTGCCCTGAGACTTCAACTGGAAATGTAACAAACCCAAATGTGAAAGGCGGATTAGATGAATAGACAAGATATTTTGCTGCCAAAGGCAATCGTTTCCATTCTGTGTATAAATGAACTAAATGATTTTAATGTGGCTGTTGGCTATTTATAATCAGTATTCATTTCACTTACATCCTGGTAAATTACTAAATCCTGCCCACATACATAAAGATACACAAGCCCTGTGTAACTTGAGATCGCTGATTGTGTCAGCAATAGCCAAGCCCTACCTGAGCAGTCTTCCTCTCCTCCTCAAAGCCTTCCATGTCAACTTTCAGCCCCTTCTCTTCTGCAATAAGCCCAGTGAGATCCACAGGGAAACCGTAAGTGTCATACAGAAGCCAGGCTGTGTCTCCTAGATGGGGCCAGAAAGAAAGAGCCAACAGTCAAGGCACCATGGAAGCATCCCCATCAGCAAAGGGATCCTCTTTGTGGGATTTCCACACCCTGTGAAAGCATCACCCTGCCAAGCAGCTGAGCTTCTATTTCTTCTCACGCTCTCTAAGCAGAAGGAGAAGGAAATGGAAGGATCTTGTGCAATGCACACAGAGGGTGGGCTATGGAAAGAAACAGTGGGAGGAATCCACAGGATTTTACAGAAGGAAAGAAACCTCACGTGAGTGAAGTAAGATCTTGGTCACCCTTTTCATACCAAAGGATGGACACTTGCCCCCTGAGAATTAGGGCACCTAAATTTGTGGTTTACATAAACCTGGAAGGAAAAAAAAATCTATCAAAGTTGAGAAAAAATAAAGGCGTTGACAGAATCAGCAAGAATTATGAGTGTCGTGAGCAGTCAAAACCATTCACAGAGCTGCCTGCTGATTAGGTTCTTAGCACTGAAGAAATAAATGGTGTAGTTAAACACAGAAAGGTGGTGGAAAAGAGGCCAGCCTTTTTGTGTCTGGACCAGACGTGCAATCTATGCTGGGTCTCCTTCTCCACCAGATGGAAGAATTCTGCATATTTGCTCACATCAAGAGACCTTCACGCTTAAGACTCAAGCAAAAGTCAACAGAAAGATTTATGTCCAGCCCCACCATGTTATACCAACTAGTGACCTTTGGAGTGGAGTAAGATTATCTAGAGACAAGTGCAACTTCACATGTTCTCGAGTTAACTGGAACTATTCATAGGAAGGGCAATATGTTACATACCAGGAATTATTTTATTGTCTCCCAAGCTCTGAATCTTCCTGTCAAGAATGCGTCGTCCTCGATTGAGGGTCTTCAAGAACTGCACCTCCTCCTCGTTGATAATATCTTTCACCATATCTGGATCTTTTGTTAGTTCAGGGAAGGCTCCACCCTGAGAGGAACAGGAACAGTGAAGGCAGATCATCTCATCTGCTCAGCCTCCGGTGCATCCAGAAAGCGTGAGGAGCAGCCTTCCCTGATGCTTTCTAGATATGTTGAGACTACAACTCCCAGAATTCCCATGGCCCTACTGAGCTTAGAGTATCATTCCATTGCAGCTAGAGAGCAGGAGGCTGGGGACAACTGCTCAAGAGCAAAAGGTGAGAGAAGGATTACCAAGGACTGTACCACCACGTCAACCAGTGTGGCGAAGAATCCTTTGGGAGCATTGAGCTTCTCGTGGGCATAGCGCACTGCACGTCGGAGGATGCGCCTCAGAACATACCTGCAGGAAGGTAAGAATCTGTTTTATATTCGGGCTAGTCATGTTTCTGAAAATGTTAAGCACAGGAAGAACTGACCATGTGCATATTAGGTGAGAAGCTTCCAATGGGGTTCAAGTTCCTCAATTCAATTATGAGGAATCCCCTTCGGTTTTTACCCAGGCTTCACCACAGGGACAGCCCCATCAGCTGAATTAGGGGCAGCCTCACCCTCTGCCAGTGTTATCAGGCCTCCCTCCATCTGAAAGGGCTATGGTGATGGTTCGGGCATGGTCAGCCAGGACTCGATAAGCCATATCTATGCCATCGACATCTTCCTCACCAACTTGCCCGGTGTAAGGCCGGCAGCCAGTCCCCTATGAAAAAGAAGAAATAAAACTGGAAATGTTCATGAGTGTGAGCCAGTGCCAGTATTTATTTACTTATTGCACTGATAACCCATTTTTTCCCCTGAGGCCTTAAAGTGCAGACTTAGCAGTCTCCTTTCATTTTATAACCCACCAAAACCATCCTGTGAGGTAGGCTGGACTGAGGGGGAACAACTATCCTCAAGTCACCCAGTGATTGCCTTGGTTGAGTGAGAATTTCAACCTGGGCCTCCTTAGTCCTAGTCCAACACCTTAACCGACACACCATCCAGGCTCACTAAAAGTCCTTTTGCTTTTTAGATTCTTAAAGTATAGCCCTTCCTGTTTCTCATAAATGGTAGGAGCTCTGCCAAAGATGACATGAGACCTTATTGGTTGTGGGTGTGCACACACCAGACTCTGTGTGTGCATGTGTGTGTGCGCACATGTAGAGCAGAGTCTTGCTTATGAGAATGAACATTCTTCCAAAACAGATTAATCTATTTTAAAGATTTCTGGAACTATAACTGTATTGGAACACAGTAATCCTTTTAAATCCATACATCCATATTCTGCCTTTCCATCCAAGCCAGCCCTTTAAAAGAGATTAAACCAGTACAAGATAATCAGGAGAAAATCTCCTAAAATACAGCCATGCGTGTTCTTTTTTTAAGCAATGGCAGCAATAAAGCAACAATTCTCCTAACTTGCCAAAGCCACAGGCAACAAAAGCATTTCGCGCTGTGCTCTATCAAAGGAATGGGCACATTCCAAACCGTGGTGGCATCACAACAGAATGTTTGGGGTTAAGCCCATTTCCCTCTTAAGACAGATCTTTTAGGAGCAGAACCTCTGAGGGAAAGTCTTATTGAAAGGACAGGCTCATCTGGGAGAAGCAGTTCTGCAGAATAATGGAGATGGAAGGAAGCTTGGAGATCATGTCATTCAATCCTTGCCCCACGCAGGATATAACTAAAGCTGTGACCAGTGACCATCTGGTCTTTGCTTAAATGCAACTGAAAGTGAACCCCTTATACCCCAAAAGACAATTCCACAGCTGAGTATTTTTCACATTAGGAAGTCTTTTCCAACGTTCAGTCAAAATCTGCTACTATACAACTGCTTCCCATTAATTCCAGACCTGTAACTGAGCAACAGAGAACAAGTCTGTTATCTTCTGGCATTCCCACTAACAGCTGAAGTATGCTAGTTCTTGGGAATGCTAACTCACTGATGAGGACTCTCAAGCACTAGCTGAATTATACAGAAAGCTGGTTTTCCTTCTCTCTTTCTGATAAAACTTACACAGATCTCCCCTTTCTTAGTTCTGAAAATACTTCTGGGCAGCCTCCTGGAGTTCTTTGGCTCCAAAGCAAGGGTAGCCCCTATCCTGGATCACTTCCTACTTACCCGATTTTACTTTCTCATACCATCACATGGATACTGTTGTATCCCTGTATTTGCATCATTAACTGAATCTGGTTTTTCAACTTCTGACATCCTGGGATATAAGCCTCTGCTCACATCTCATTCTTTATGGCAGCCTTGCCTGAGCTGGGCACACTCCTGATGTGTACTTTAATTCCCAGAATTCCACAACCAGCATGGCTGCCGTTGAGAATTCTGGGAATTGAAGTCCATATATCTGGAAGACACCCAGGTTAAGGACAGCTAGTTTATGCTACTGATCTGCCTCTATCTATCTGCAGTCTTGGCTCAAGACCATCGCTGCGCCAGCCAACAAGGGCAAATTCAGCAGCAATAAATAACCACTGTGTCTGAAAGCAACAAAAAAAAAAGAGCCTGGAAAGCAGAACCTGTTTTAACAAGGGAGGAATTCATTGCTGTACTGGCTCAAATGGGACCTGTGCTATGCAGAGGCCGAACCATGTCCTGACAAACTGACTCACAATGCACTTGGAGCATACCTTCTGAATAGCTTCAAAATAAGGCACAAAGAGATCAGTGTCATAGTTGGACATTTTGTTCTGCAACACGGACACCAGCCGCTCCAGGCCCATGCCGGTGTCGATGCTTTTCTTCGGCAGTGGTTTCAAGGTCCCGTCAGCCTCTCTGGCCCGAGAAGAAGAAAATATAACTGTTAAGATTAGGAAACAGTAGCAGGTATTAGTCCTTCCCCTTTGTCCCAACTTCATGCAGTTTAAAAACTCCACTGGATTCATAAAGACTGTGTACTAAAAAGTTAAAGCCAATATACAGCTGTTCTGTACTAAAGGAGTACAGAAAGAGAAAGAGCTGCAGGGAAACAATGGGGCAAAAGTGTCCGTTCAGCTCCTTACAGCTCCCCCCCTGCCCCAGGATGGCCAATGATGAAGAATGCTGGAACTGTAGTTCAGCAACACTGGAAGGGCCACTAACCATCGCTGTTGCTCTAAGGGTTGTTGAAGTTCCTAATTCAAAGCCCTTCATGGCATAGGACCTGGTTATCTGAGGAGCCGTCTCGCCCCCGTTATATCAGCCCGCCCCACTCAGTCCAGCAGAAGGGGCTGTTGCGGACCCCATCGGTCAAAGTACTTTGGTTGGCAGGGTCTAGGAAGAGGGCCTTTTCTGCCGTGGCCCCCGCCCTGTGGAACAGCTTACATCTGAGGTGCAGTCCACCCCCACTCTCCTGCCTTCCAGAAGAGCGTGAAAACATGGCTATGTCAGATGGCCTGGAGGTCTGATGAGGGCTCGTGTTGTTGGAATTGGCTGGTGGGATAATCGATACTGCTCCCCCCATGACCTTGAATTGTATGTAGCCTTTTTAAATAGAATTGTTATTAGCTAATTTTAGTATGGATATTTATATTTTCATTGTTTTTTACTGTTTTGCATTTTAATTGTGAGCCACCCTCTGGGGGACAGGGTGGCATATAAAATGAATGAATGAATGAATGAATGAATGAATGAATGAATGAATGAATGTTCAATATTTTGTTAAAGATACTCAATCACTGAGCTGGGGATAGGGAAGGAGATGCTGAGAGTGAGAAAAGACAGGCAAGCATGCATGTATACACATACAAATATACATACATACATAGATAAACAGATACTTCATGCACATATATGCGTGAATATAAAGATGGGAATGAAATTGTGTGTTGCTCTTCCTGGGACTGAAGCACAGTGGAGAAAACCCACAGCTAGGAGACACCAAGCAAAAGGAAACCAATTCCTGCATCACCTGTTGAACTGTATGAACACCAAATTCCAGATCTCTAGCACGTTGGGATCATCTTGATTGACAAGGTGGGAAGCGTCTCGGCCCCCAATCCGGTCGTAATGCATCTCGCTGCAAGGACCGCAGGGCCCCGTGTCTCCCATTTCCCAGAAGTTGTCCTTCATGCTGCCTGGAAGAATCTTACTCTCTGCCAGACTGAAGGAGAAAATGCTCCATGAGTAACAGGGTGAGGAAAGAGCCCGTAAGTCAAAACTTCAGTGCTCTGGATTAATTAGGAGCCCAAAATATTTTCAAACAGCTTTTCCCCAACTTTGTGCCCTCCGGCTGTGACCCTGTGAACGTGGAATTCTGAGGATCATAGTCTCATCACATCTGGATGGTAGGAGGTTAGGAAACTTGATATCTGAAGTCCACTTAGCAGGTTCTTTTTATTTAAAAAAGAACATTGTTATCACACTAACAAATCTAAGATAGCGCTACAGAATATTTCAGAATTATATATACTGTCAAGGAATACCCCATGAGATGGGCTCATACGGTATTCCTCTAAAACGAGAAGCAAATTAGACGATCAAGACATGGTTTCTGAATGCCCTGTTTCCCATTAAACCAGAGGGGTTTTTTTTCTTTCAGGACCCCTTCCCACTTTTAAAGATTATGGAGAACCCCAAGAGTTTTTGTTTGTATGGGTTATAGTCATCAATGTTTACCATATTAAAAATTAAAATGGACGCATTCGCTGCCCCCTCTCATGACTGTTTGATGGGATTTTAATACTGTATTATTTTTAAACATAGGCAGGCAAATAATTTTGATTTCACAGATCCCTGAGTGGGGTCCCAGGAATACACTTTAAGAAACACTGCACTAAACTTGTTTCTACATCACAATTCTTAATTCAAATGTAACAACAAACCTGGAATCAGTTCAACTGATTTCTGGTTTATTCTTTTTCTTAGGGGCACTTAGGGAGTTTGTATGATGCAAAGAAAGGGGAAATTTAAGGCATAGACAAGCTTGGAAAGATCAAGAGAGGTGATACATCTCACCCCGCCCTGCCTGGTCTTTATCCCCCTTTGCTTCTTTTTTGGGGGGTGGGGTTTCCTGACAGTCTCTCCTTTTTAGATGTTAAGGAAGAATTTCCTGGTTAATCCCAACTCACCCAAGATCCAGCCAAATTTGCTTGCAATCTAAGTCAGGCTCCAAGCCGGCTGCTTCGTTGCCCCCAAAATAAGTCACATAGAGCCTTTCGATGGGGATGCCAAATTCTTTGGTGAGCAGGTCCAGAGCAAGCTTGCAAGCCAGTTCCTGAGTTCGCAGTGAAAAACAGGGCTGTGAAGGTCTCACCAGACAGAATGATTTGCCTCCTTTCTTTCTGTCAACGTCTCCCCTATTCCAAATGCTGCACCACCACCACCAAGCCACCACAAATACAACCACCAATGGAACTGTACATAGTTTGAAATGTATTTGATGGGTCTGGAAATATGAGCAGGCGGCCTCTGTTCTTTTGGATGATCAAGCAGTAACTAAATCAATATCCCAAACATGTAAAACACACAAGATCAGATAACTGGTTCATCTTGGCTATGACTGTCAATGATTTCTGGCAAGAGCTCCCCAAACTTTTACACAGGGGAATTACCAGCCCTGTTTGAAGAGGCCAAAGATGGAAAAACTGTGGGCAAAAAGCAAAAACCCCTCCCTCAACCCACCCTACACTGTATCCTTGAGTTGAAAGCTTCCTGCAGTGCCCCTATTGTACCTTGAAGTAATCTCCAAAAGACCAGGAGCCCAGCATCTCAAAGAAAGTGTGATGATAGACATCCTTGCCCACGTCATCCAAGTCGTTGTGTTTGCCACCAGCTCGAATGCACTTCTGGGTGTTGACCGCTCGTGTCAGCTTTGCCATGGGATGGGAAGGGTCAATCGTGTTGAGGAAGATAGGCTTGAACTGGGAGAAACATAAGAAAACAGTTCTCAGCTCTGGAGTTCCACACAAACTAGGCTGATGAGCTTGCAGATCTATGAGCGATGGACAAAATACTAGGTTTGGATTTCGGACCGAAGTTGCAGATTCCCTTACAATGAATTAGTGATTGGATTCACATGTTATGCTGAGCTATAATGCAACATCTTAACTTTCGCTTTTATTGTACTGTGCAAAATCAGCCACTTGGCTTTGTAAACCATGATTTATAACTATAGGGTAAAGTTAAATTCACCCAAGCATGGCTTACTTAGTGAATCGTACTTTGTGTTATGTGTAAACCAAGGGTTTTGCCACACAATTCCCTTTTTAATTATTCCTCTTTAAAAGAATAATGGAAAAGGAACCTTTTTTATATAAATAGAAACATACTGTCCAGGAACAAATATATCAGCCTTTGTTCCTGAAAAAATTTGAGTCCTTATCTGATATAGACCGTAATAAAGACTAATTGAGTAATGTTTCTAGACAAAGATTTACATGGAAGGAAATATAAGTTATAACAAACAAAAGTTCTGAACAGTATGTTATTTTTTTATTTGAACCAAAGCAGCAGATTTATACAGAACAGAAGGTGATCCCTTAGATAGCGTAAATGCTTTATTAAGTCCTAGTTTAATATCCTTTAAAGGTCAGAACAGTTCAGGAGTAGGCAACCTGGCGCCCTCCACAAATATGGATTCCTATGTCCATCAGCCCTAGCAAGAATTGTGAGAACTGCAACCCAAAACATCAGGAATGCACCAGATTGCACCGCCCACATTGACTTAGCGTCTATCATTTTGTATCGTTCTTTGTGAAATAGAAGTTCAATAGTATGGGAAGTTTGTTTTAAGCTCAGTCTTATGGTGCCCTGGATATCAAGCACGTTAAAATTAATTGTGCACCTCCCCTTCTGTAAAATGATCTACTAGACAAGGTTATGGTAGGGACAAAATACGTCAAAATCTAAAGCGCTTTTCAAATTGTGAATGCTGGCAAGCGGTTGAGCATCCAAATCAGAATACTTAAGAGTATGCGGCACCCTAAACTGACAACAATTAAGCAAGATTAACCAATATAAAAATAGCTACTGCTCTTTGCATCAATCAACTACAGATGAATGCATTATTATTAAAATTGTACTAGATCAGATGGGGAGGTCATAGTTTATTATGCTCTTTCTAAAAAGAGATGGCCAAACGCTTCTAGGTAACATACACACAGGTTTTCTCCCATTATGTGCCTCCATTATCTTGAATTTCAGAAATGTATTAGTTCCATTATCTTGCATAGTAGATAGATAGATAGATAGATAGATAGATAGATAGATAGATAGATAGATAGATAGATAGATAGATATGGAGGTTCAATTTAGTTTCTACTTGTAAGACCCACCCTCCATAAATCTATCCAATCCTCTTTTCCATCACTCTAATATACAGTGCTGAATTGCAAAACTAAGTACATGGGTGAAGTGAAAGAATATGCTGTTTTGTTGGTCCCAAGTCCCAGAATTATGAGAAAGGGAGCACAATTCCCTCTTCTTTATATGCATTGATTATAACTGACCTGGTTCATGCCAGCATTGGCAAAGAGTAGGGTAGGATCATCCAGAGGGATGGTAGCAGACGAATGCACATAGGTATGCTGGTTCTCCACAAAGAAGTTGATGAACCGCTGGCGGATCTCACTGGCTGTCAGCGTCTCCATTGTAAGACCTCTGCTCAGCACTGATGGGAGAGAGATGGAAAGAAATAGCACCAGATTTGAAGAAAATAAGGAAAGGTTATCAAAATTCATGGGCAACCATTCAGTTGCAGGACATATTCTAGTTTCATCTGTAAGAGTGGGCAACTATCAAGTGATTCACTTCATAACGGATATTCCTCTTCAAATAGCTTGGCGCTAATTTATCTGTGATGATGTAAGGAAGAGAAAGAGGTTTCTGCGATGGTTTTCAGAACCAAGTGAGGGCCCCTTAAGCACCGATATGAACATAATGAAGTTTTGCAAAACAAAAAACAAAAAACCCAAGTCAGAACAAAAACGGAAGAACTGTCCTATAGCAATTGCTATAGAACAGGGTTCCTCAACCTTGGTGACTTGAAGATGT